TTGAGTTGGCACTTGTTGAGTCCGGGTGCAGCACTGCTTTCATGCGGCCCTCGGAATAGAAAGTGCAAGATGGGCATTTGCGAGGAGCATGTCTGATAGACAGCGCTGTGCCTTGCGTGCTGTTTGCCCTGTGGTTTGTGTACCTTAGGGCAGCAGATGAACAGCGGAGTTGAGAATCGGCATGCTTGAGGATCTTGAGGGACGGGTGATAGGGAAGCATGCGTGCATTCACTGCCACGAATCTCTGCATGGCTGCTCCGCTGCGTGCAGTGATGATGCCGTGTCCTTGGAATTCCTCGTTTCGCTCAGGGTCTTGATGGCCTGATGGCGATGCATGACACATGTCTGGACCGCTGAGCACCTTGACAATGCAGCACCGCCAGCGGAACTTCGGAGGAAAAGGCATGTTGGCTTGCGAGAGGGTGTAAGAGGACTGCAAGACTGCAAGATCCGCGCAGCTGCCAGTGAGGACAATGAGAAATAGGTCAGAAGCTGACCCCATGTGAGTTGTTAGCAGTTTCATGAGGCGGGATGCAGACCAACAACAACTATCCCTAGCTGAGCAACTGGTGATGCGGCTCAATCACCTCTGACAGCTGACCTCGCGAGAAAGTCCTTATGAGTGATTGGGCCTTTGCTGTTGGATCGGCAAGGGATTAGGAGTGCGGATGAGTTGGCACTTGTTTGAGTTGGCACTTGTTGAGTCCGGGTGCAGCACTGCTTTCATGCGGCCCTCGGAATTAGCCCCGGAGCCCTCAAACAGAAAAGATGCAGCGATTGCTTCGTTTGTGTACCTTAGGGCAACAGATGAACAGCGGAGTTGAGAATCGGCATGCTTGAGGATCTTGAGTGACACGTGATAGGGACGCATGCGTGCAGTCACTGCAACGAATCTCTGCATGGCTTCCCCGCTACGTGCAGTGATGATGCCGTGTCCTTGGAATTCCTCGTTTCGCTCAGGGTCTTGATGGCCTGATGGCGATGCATGACACATGTCTGGACCGCTGAGCAGATTGACAATGCAGCACACCGCCAGCGGAACTTCGGAGGAAAGGCATGTGGGCTTGCGAGAGGGTGCAAGAAGACTGCAAGACTGCAAGATCCGCGCAGCTGCTAGTGAGGACAATGAGAAATAGGTCAGAAGCTGACCCCAAGTGATGAGAGATGTTTCACGAGGCAGGATGCAGACCAACAACTATCCCTAGCTGAGCAGCTGGTGATGCGGCTCAATCACCTCTGACAGCTGACCTCGTGAGAAAGTCCCTATGAGTGATTGGGCCTTTGCTTTTGGATCGGCAAGGGATTAGGAGTGCGGATGAGTTGGCACTTGTTTGAGTTGGCACTTGTTGAGTCCGGGTGCAGCACTGCTTTCATGCGGCCCTCGGAATTAGAAAGTGCAAGATGGGCATTTGCGAGGAGCATGTCTGATAGACAGCGCTGTGCCTTGCGTGCTGTTTGCCCTGTCGTTTGTGTACCTTAGGGCAGCAGATGAACAGCGGAGTTGAGAATCGGCATGCTTGAGGATCTTGAGGGACGGGTGATAGGGAAGCATGCAGTGCATTCACTGCCACGAATCTCTGCATGGCTGCTCCGCTGCGTGCAGTGATGATGCCGTGTCCTTGGAATTCCTCGTTTCGCTCAGGGTCTTGATGGCCTGATGGCGATGCATGACACATGTCTGGACCGCTGAGCACCTTGACAATGCAAAACCCGCCAGCGGAAGTTCGGATGGAAGGCATGTGGGCTTGCGAGAGGGTGCAAGAGGACTGCAAGACTGCAAGATCCGCGCAGCTGCCAGTGAAGAGAAATAGGTCAGAAGCTGACCCATGTGATGAGAGATCTCTCTTCAGTGGCTGAGGCATGTTGAGAAGGAACTGAGTTGTTAGCAGTTTCATGAGGCAGGATGCAGACCAACAACAACTATCCCTAGCTGAGCAGCTGGTGATGCGGCTCAATCACCTCTGACAGCTGACCTCGCGAGAAAGTCCTTATGAGTGATTGGGCCTTTGCTTTTGGATTGGCAAGGGATAAGAAGTGCGGATGAGTTGGCACTTGTTTGAGTTGGCACTTGTTGAGTCCGGGTGCAGCACTGCTTTCATGCGGCCCTCGGAATTAGAAAGTGCAAGATGAGCATTTGCGAGGAGCATGTCTGATAGACAGCACTGTGCCTTACGCGCTGTTTGCCCTGGAGCCCTCAAACAGCCAAGATGCAGCGATTGCTTCGTTTGTGTACCTTAGGGCAGCAGATGAACAGCGGAGTTGAAAATCGGCATGCTTGAGGATCTTGCAGGACAGGTGATAGGGAAGCATGCGTGCAGTCACTGCAACGAATCTCTGCATGGCTGGCCCGCTACGTGCAGTGATGATGCCGTGTCCTTGGAATTCCTCGTTTCGCTCAGGGTCTCGATGGCCTGATGGCGATGCATGACACATGTCTGGACCGCTGAGCACCTTGACAATGCAAAACCGCCAGCGGAAGTTCGGATGGAAGGCATGTGGGCTTGCGAGAGGGTGCAAGAGGACTGCAAGACTGCAAGATCCGCGCAGCTGCCAGTGAGGACAATGAGAAATAGGTCAGAAGCTGACCCATGTGATGAGAGATCTCTCTTCAGTGGCTGAGGCATGTTGAGAAGGAACTGAGTTGTTAGCAGTTTCATGAGGCAGGATGCAAACCAACAACAACTATCCCTAGCTGAGCAGCTGGTGATGCGGCTCAATCACCTCTGACAGCTGACCTCGCGAGAAAGTCCTTATGAGTGATTGGGCCTTTGCTTTTGGATTGGCAAGGGATAAGAAGTGCGGATGAGTTGGCACTTGTTTGAGTTGGCACTTGTTGAGTCCGGGTGCAGCACTGCTTTCATGCGGCCCTCGGAATTAGAAAGTGCAAGATGGGCATTTGCGAGGAGCATGTCTGATAGACAGCGCTGTGCCTTACGCGCTGTTTGCCCTGAAGCCCTCAAACAGCCAAGATGCAGCGATTGCTTCGTTTGTGTACCTTAGGGCAGCAGATGAACAGCGGAGTTGAGAATCGTCATGCTTGAGGATCTTGCGGGACAGGTGATAGGGAAGCATGCGTGCAGTCACTGCAACGAATCTCTGCATGGCTGGCCCGCTACGTGCAGTGATGATGCCGTGTCCTTGGAATTCCTCGTTTCGCTCAGGGTCTTGATGGCCTGATGGCGATGCATGACACATGTCTGGACCGCTGAGCACCTTGACAATGCAAAACCGCCAGCGGAAGTTCGGAGGAAAGGCATGTGGGCTTGCGAGAGGGTGCAAGAGGACTGCAAGGCTGCAAGATCCGCGCAGCTGCCAGTGAGGACAATGAGAAATAGGTCAGAAGCTGACCCATGTGATGAGAGATCTCTCTTCAGTGGCTGAGGCATGTTGAGAAGGAACTGAGTTGTTAGCAGTTTCATGAGGCAGGATGCAGACCAACAACAACTATCCCTAGCTGAGCAGCTGGTGATGCTTCTCAATTACCTCTGACAGCTGACCTCGCGAGAAAGTCCTTGTGTGAGTGATCGGGCCTTTGTTTTTGTAATGGCAAGGGATTAGGAGTGCGGATGAGTTGGCACGTGTTTGAGTTGGCACGTGTTTGAGTTGGCACTTGTTTGAGTTGGCACTTGTTTGAGTTGGCACTTGTTGAGTCCGGGTGCAGCACTGCTTTTATGCGGCCCTCGGAATTAGAAAATGCAAGATGGGCATTTGCGAGGAGCATGTCTGATAGACAGCGCTGTGATTTACGCGCTGTTTGCCCTGGAGCCCTCAAACAGCCAAGCTGCAGCGAGTGGTTCGTTTCTGTACCTTTGGGCAGCAGATGAACAGCGGAGTTGAGAATCGTCATGCTTGAGGATCTTGCGTGACGGGTGATAGGGAAGCATGCTTGCATTTGCTGGCATGGCTCTCTGCATGGCTGCCCCGCTGCGTGCAGTGATGATGCCGTGTCCTTGGAATTCCTCGTTTCGCTCAGGGTCTTGATGGCCTGATGGCGATGCATGACACATGTCTGGACTGCTGAGCACCTTGACAATGCAGCACCGCCAGCGGAAGTTCGGAGGAAAGCATGTGGGCTTGCGAGAGGGTGCAAGAGGACTGCAAGACTGCAAGATCCGCGCAGCTGCCAGTGAGGACAATGAGAAATAGGTCAGAAGCTGACCCATGTGATGAGAGATCTCTCTTCAGTGGCTGAGGCATGTTGAGAAGGAACTTGAGTTGTTAGCAGTTTCGTGAGGCAGGATGCAGTTGTTTGAGTTGGCACTTGTTGAGTCCGGGTGCAGCACTGCTTTCATGCGGCCCTCGGAATTAGAAAGTGCAAGATGGGCATTTGCGAGGAGCATGTCTGATAGACAGCACTGTGCCTTACGCGCTGTTTGCCCTGGAGCCCTCAAACAGCCAAGATGCAGCGATTGCTTTGTTTGTGTGCCTTAGCGCAGCAGATGAACGGTGGAGTTGAGAATCGGCATGCTTGAGGATCTTGCGGGACAGGTGATAGGGAAGCATGCGTGCATTCACTGCCACGGATCTCAGCATGGCTGGCCCGCTACGTGCAGTGATGATGCCGTGTCCTTGGAATTCCTCGTTTCGCTCAGGGTCTTGATGGCCTGATGGCGATGCATGACACAGCTGCCAGTGAGGATAATGAGAAATAGGTCAGAAGCTGACCCCACGTGATGAGAGATCTCTCTTCAGTGGCTGAGGCATGTTGAGAAGGAACTGAGTTGTTAGCAGTTTCGTGACGCAGGATTAGTCGTTGGGCCTTGGCTGCTGCTTCCCGAGGCCGCGTGATCCTTTTCAATTCTCAAGCTACATGCCATAGATGGTGTCAGGATGGAGAGGTATCACAATGATGAATGTTGACGTGCCTGTCACAGAAACTTATTCCATCTCCTTATGCCAGCTGTGCACATGGTCAAAGTGATCTATGTTTCTTCTTTAGTCTGGGAGCCATAGATCACATAGATCACTTTGGTTGCCTTGCTGTCTTTTACCCCCGCGAGGAGTACTGGCGGGATTTGCTGGGCTTGGACGACGAGCTGCAGGTTCCCTTCTGGTGCACCTCGGCGCATAGTGGTTGTCCCGAAGCGAGGAGTTTGGGACCGAAGATGTGACAAAGGCACTCAAGCGGCTTGAGGGGTCGCTCAGATTAAGGGCTTGGTGACTTGGTGGGAGGGATTCTTTGGGCGAGTGACCCCGGTTCCGAACTGTTGTGGGTGAATCACCAAGAGGAAGCTCTGTGAAGGAATCGTTTTGCCAGGTTGGAAGGCTCGGCGGCATCATGTTAGGTGGAATGGGGTGGAAGGTGATGTACATGAGCGCAGTTACTCGCACGAGGCCTGTCAGCCGAGCTACTTGCATACGTGTATATATGCATATGTGCATGTGCAGGTTGTTGGGGGCGGATGGTTGCCCGAGGCGTGCAGAGCGACGCCTGCGGTAAGTTCATGGCAGCCTGCATCGTGATCTTCGTGCTGGTGGTGGGCCACCACGACAATGACGACCTGCCCAGGCGATTTGTTTGGGGAGCCCGGAAGATGGAGTCGCCCGTTGGTTTCTCTTGAAAAGATCTGCCGTTGGTCTTGGCTTTCAACACGTCCACCGTTGGCTTTGGGTTCCCTTTGACGCATCTCCCGTTGGCTTCCCGTTAAACAAGCAGCAACAGCAAAGGGGGCGGTCTCAAAACCCCCCGCGGTGTGCCCGGAACGCCCTGCTGCGCTGACCGGAGCCGCGAGGTGGGCAAATCTCACGGTGCAGTTCATCTTGGCCACCAGCTTCGTGGAGGAGCCAAGTGCGGTTTGCGTCGCCATGGTCATGTTGCGCCTGGGCTTCCCTAGGTCCCCCAGGAGTTCCCTTTGAGCGTTTCTTTTTTGGGGGAGGGTTTTTTCTACTAGAAGAGGCTACAGAAAAAGAGTTGGTACCCTTATTCTAGCCTCTCTAGTGGAGGATCTAGTTCCTGATCTTACTTGGAGACTGGGGGCACAGGACCCGCACGGGGAAACTCCATGCAGGGAGGGTTTCATGAATCTTAGCCACACAGCCTGACAGACGCTGGTGCCGCCACTATCGCCATCAGCTGCAAGCACGTTGCTCATGCTGCTCCCGGTCATGCTTCGGTTGCTTCCTGTAGAAATGTTCTACGCAGAGAACCAAGCCCAGAGTAGGGCTGGAATGAATGCACGTGTATACATATCAGCATGATTTACATATATATATATATAGAGAGAGACATGTATGTATATAATATTTATCATCAACATATCATTTACGCGAGATGAACGCTTTCCAGGTTTCAGGGCAATGCTAGATCCCTCCCCTGGCGTGTGCAAGTCTACATACATGATCAGGATGTAGTCCATAAATTGCCGAACTCCTCTTTTCCTCAAGTTGTCCTGGACATTTCGGGTGGAGGGTCTAAATTCCGGATTTTGCTTTCCACAAGCAAATACTTTTTGTATGTCCAGCAGCAAACTACTCCACGCTCATGGACCCTTTAACGCAAACAAAAGCCTCCGCTCGTCGGATGTCTTTGTGGCAGAACATCATGCACCTGGTGAACACCTACTACGGGGCCCCCTTCAAGAAGCCGGAGGACCGGACCATTCTGATCCTGGACACCATTGCGGTTTGGATGTCCACTGCGGAGGTCTGGGTGTTGCCCCAGGCGCGTTGGGCGGGTTTGGGCGGGTTGCGGGTTTGGGCGGGTTGCGGGTTTGGGCGGAGGGGTTGGTGGCTCCCCAAGGAACAGTGAGCCTCACTTTGTAGAGCGAAGTACGGTGGGCTTGGGGTGCTGGGTTTGGTACTGGCTGGGTTTACGTGCAGTTAGGGTGGGTAGCAGGGAATGCCCCCTTTCCTCTACAGCCGTTGTTCCTCTTGCCGATTTGCGAGGTCCTGGGCTCCGGTTTGCACTTCTCCCGCATCGTGTGGCTGGTGCGGTTCCTGCGCGTCTTGAGCATGATCGACTCTTTGCGGGAGCTGACGCTGGGCGTCTTGGACGCCCTGCAGGCCGGGCCACAAAGTTGAGGCAGTATGGCTCCAGGCCGCAGATTAGCCTCACAAATTCGGAGTACGCGCTCACAAAAACCCTTGAAGCTGCCTTGTCCCTAGGTGCCTTGTGTGTTGGTATGATCGTCCCAGATTTGGTGATGCTCAAGGGGCGAGGGATTTTTTTTTTTTGAGGAGAAAAATACGGCGGGGGTTTGCCATGGGTTATTGGTGGAATGTTGCATCCTAGCTGTTGCTGGGGTGTGAAACATGGACAGGCAGATGTTGCGCTAAACGTGCTGGCTTGGCATTCCTAACAAGTCGAAGCTTCGGTGTTGACCGCCGGAACAGGGACTATGCTTGTGTTCCAAAGGAGCAGAGATCAGGGCTCTTTCAGACTCGGGATGGTGCTCTTTAATGACTATGTGCATTAGGAAAGGCCTGGGTCCTGCGATCAGACATCATTTGATACAGATCAATTGGTCATTGCCATCTGAGCATTCTGCATACTGCATCAACACGCAGAGTTTTGTGTTCTTTTGTTCAAAGCCCAAGCTTTGAAAGGCCCACACTCGCTTGTCAGAAACTGGAGTTGTTCCCCATGCGAACCTGACACTTGCTGTCAAGCAACCATGGAGGCCAGTCGAGCATTGCTTGGACCGTGTGGTGCTGTCATGTTGGTTTTCATTTTTGGACTTGACACTTTCCTCTCTGCGCCTTTGCTCAAGCGCAGGAGAGCAATGGAGTTGAGCATATTGCCTTTCAGTTTTGAGATGGCTCGGGCCTGCTTCAAGTCTCCTTTTTTTTCCTTGCCCACTTTCCTCTCCAAGTTCTTTGTTGAGAACTTGCGTAGATTTCAGGGGCGTTCAGAGGCGTTCCGTGCACTTGGGAAAGCTGCAGGGGCTCTTCTGGGTGCTCATTTTCCTCTTCATCTTCGTCTACGCCTTGGCTGTGGTACTCACGCGCATAGTGGGCCACGTGCCGCCCGCCGAACAAGAGGCGCCGGCGGTGCAGGAGGCGCGGGGTGGCAAAGTTTGTTTCAACCAGCCCGGGCTGCCTTGAAACGGACAAAAAACACCGACAAAAACGGCAAAGCCAGCAAGAACCGAAAGTGTGTGTATTTTGGAGGTGGTGGTATTTGGGGTTGGTTGAAAGGGACGCCAAAAAGAAACACCATACTGTTTTGGGCGCTTCCTATTTTGATGCATGCCAAAAGGAGGTCGTCCCGTCGTCGAACGAGGGGTAGGCCCCACCCTGAGGTGCGGGCCATGTTCTCCAACGTGGGCAGCTCGGCGCGCGCTTCGAGCAGTGGGGCCAAGGGGCAAAGGGACCGGCTGTTTTGGAGCGGAGGGTTGGGTTTGGGCGGGATTGGGATAGCCATGTGTTGGGGACCCCACGAAACCCTTCCATGCATCAAGCCACTTTTGAATCCACGACTCTTGCACTGACGAAACCATTGAATGGAGACCTTACATCATTGGACAGCAAACCAGGTCATGAGTTCAATCAGTGTGATTGCCAATTTATGGACCCTTTTTGCTCTGGTGCCACCTGCTGCCGCTTTTCAAAGCCCCAAAAGGGCCCACAAGTTTGGCGCCTCCCCGCCAATTCGCCGGTGAAGTTTGGAGTTCGCTTTGAGGCAACAGCATGTTCTACCTCTTCCAGCTCACCAGCCAGTGGAGCCTCGTGCCGCTCTTCCCGCTCCTCAAGGCCTCGCCCATCACGTGCGTCAGCTTCACGCCCCTCGGCCTTTGGGGCGGGTGCGTGCTTCCAAGTAGGCGGAAAAAAAACACACGCACACACACACACACACATCCCTTGGATTTTGGTTGGAAGGGAAGCATCCAACCTTTGCTTGTCATGCTAGCCCAACACCTGGTGTGAAGCCATCACTTGGTTTTCGCTTGCCAATTAGGATGAGCTGATCTGCAATAACAAAAACCTCACTACAGACCTTGCTCTAGATTTGTATGCCGTTCGTTTGAACTCGCCTCTTTCTGCAAGGCCTGCCTGTGGCTCTGCAATTTCCGTGCGCCATGTGCTTGTGAAAGGAGCAAGGAGCGGTAGTGAGCCTGTTTGCTGCTTTGCCCCCACTCCAGCGGTGATAGGACTCCTTGCTGATCTTTCGCATCTTCAGCGCTTTGGTGTCGCGGTTCAACCCGTTTAGAGTCTTTGAGACCGTCTTTGTCACCAGCTTGAGGCTGTTCTACATCTACAGCGGGTGGGTGATTGTGGCTGTCATGACGGGCACCGTGAGCTTTACTATGATCTCCTTCAAGGAAGCTGCCAGAGTGGGGAGAGTGTTGGCGAGAGAATCTCTGCGAAACACCAACAGAAAGCGTGCTTGTTGGAGTAGCTGAAACAACCATCAGGTGCGCAGTCTTTCAGGCTTAAGCACGGGTAGCCCTTACATCGAAGCCAGCACTCCTCCTCCTGCGATTTGGCGTCTTTGGTGTGTACTTCAAGTAAACAGGCATCAGACTTAGTTTGCTTGTTTTGGGTTGAGGATATTTTCCTGGTGCGTTGAGACAAAGTTGCGCTAGAAAGAAATGCCCCTCTCAAGCACACATGTGAAACGAGAACCTGAGAGCTTCGCCAGGTGCTACCTCCACCTCAGTGGTCATTGTTTTGCTATTGGATCGTTTGGGCATTCCTCGCTGGTTTTTTCGACCCTTCCGATCTTACTTGCAGTGCTGGACAGTTTGGATTGCTGGCACACCCACGCAAGAACTTCAGCATTGTGGCAGAGGTTGGTCCATGATTTCTGAAAGGTGCTCGGCTGCGCCCTCGCACACCAATCTGAACACTTGAGCTACTTTTGGAAGAGGTTTGTACAGGTTGATCATTCTTGTTGGTCCCTTGTGAATTATTTTCCGTACCGAAAATGACTGTCCAACAAATCTGGCAGCTGAAGTTCTGCCATGCGACGCTCGGCGTGGCAGGAGCGCATGGTACAGGACGACGAGCTGCGGGAAGAGGACAGCTTTCCGGATGCGGTTCGAGCTTTGCTTGCATGCCCTGCTGAAGAACCTATAAAAGAGCAGCTCTTTATATGTTATACGTGAACATATCATGTCAGGGCTGTGTATCAAACCGCCCTTGTTCCCTTAGAACCACACACCTCGATGGCCGCATTCTTTGCAGCGTACCGGTTGGCCGGATGTGCGGCGTAGGAGAAGCGGCACTTTGTGAAGCAGGTGCTCTCGGACATCTTCGAGCAGTTGGACGAGGACGGCAACGGGGAGCTGGACTACGAGGAGTTCCAGGCGAGATCCTCGCCCCCTCCTCCAAACCTTCGCTCGTTTTTGTTTGTTTTTTCTTCCGTGGGACATGCGGCTCGGGGGCACCAATCGAGTTAAGCCTGGAGTGTTGGGGCTTGGTTGATGGCCGGGGTATCTCTTAAACATCGGGAAGGCGCTTGAATCACAGTCAGCTCCGCGTACAAATTCGATTGAACACATGGAAGATCTGTGGTCATATCCCGTGACAAGTCTTCAGTCGCAGCTTATCTTGAGGGGCAACGCACCTTCCGCGCCCTTCCTGGGGACTTGGGGCGGGTTGGCCGGTCGCAGGGCGTAGAGGGAAGCGGCGTGAAGCGGCTGGCGCTTGGGAGGCCTTGCTGAAGTCCAAGGAGGTGCTGATTTTGCTGTCCGACAACACGGACATCAAGATCCAAGACCTGGAGGCACCACAAAGCATTTCTTCCAGTAGCTTTGGGCCCACTCTATGTGTTTGTGGGTGTGTGTGCTTGTGCGTTTCCAGGGGCCAGGTTCCTGGCACTTTTGAAAGGGCCTTTGGAGCAACACTGAAGTGCTTCCCTGCTGCGTGTTGAACGGTACATCCCAATCAAGGGGGCATGATTCAGAGAGGGTGGGGCATAGGTAGTGCCATGCGACATTAAGCAGCGTGCTTGATTTGCCTTTTGCAGCTGTCCCCAGTTGTTTCAGCGTCTTACTGATTTTCCGGCCGCTGTTTTGCTCAGGCTTCATCGCCTTTCACGCATGCTTTTTTCTTGGTGCGCTGTGAACTGGGAGTGGTTATTCGCAGATTTGGGGTCATGCAAGCTGTGAGATTATGAGAGAGGTCGGCTTAGTGCTGTGCATTGACGTTCGGGGTTTGGGGGTGATTGGCAAGTTTGCAAGTTGCGTTGCCTAGCTACCTTGCGGCTTTTGGCTTTGCTGGCTTTCCAGCTGAAATAAACGACACACACAAACGAATCATTGACGTACGCACGCGCACACACAAACAGATACACAGACACATGGATGCAATGCCCATAAACATGGACCACCACTCGTCATCGTATGCCGAGGGGCTTGGCTTGCTTGCACCAGCGGCATCAGATGAAGGGGGGATCCGCTCGGTACTGTGGTTTGCCCTTGGCCAGTCGGAGCATTCCGAAAGCAAGTTAAGCACTTGGCACTGTACAAACCGGCAGCATGGTTTGTTGGCGGTTTTGCCCAGTGCAGAGTGTTTGCAGTTTGGTTGGCTTGGCCTCAGCTGGGCTTGAGGTTTGCCCAAATTTGGCAATTGGATGACAACTTTCTCAAGCCGTGCATGTGAGGGCACCAAAGTTGGGGCCCGACAAGCTAGACCCTCTAGTTGGATGACGTATACGTTATAAATAAAAACTACATCTTGCAGTCTCTGAATTTCTGGTTGGGATTTGCCTGGTCGTCTAGACTGCCCGAGAAACAAAATACAGACCCTTTAGTGGCCATGATTTGCATGGTTGGTTTCTGTCCACCGTTTTGGAGGAGCTCCAACCAGAAAAATCCACGGCCAATTCCATCGCAAGCTCACCTGGAGGCACAACGAGCGGGTCTCTTCGCAGCGTCAGACCCGGCCCTCCGCGCCTCGCATCGCCTCGGAGACTCGGCAGGACATGTGGCAGTGGATCGACACCGACAAGAGCGGCTCGGTGACCATCGCCGAGTTCTTCGAGGGCTTCGAGATGCTGAACGAGCCCTTCCGACAGAAGACCCTCGACTCAGAAACGACGGCAGCGGGTTTTGCCCGCCTGGTTTGGGGTTTGTTTTGGACCTCCAGGGGGTTGATGGCATGGTCATAGCGGTCAAGCGACCCTGGAAAATGGGGATGTCACCCCATGATCTTGGGGCAATGTCCCGAGTTTTGCGAAGGGTGGCAGTTGGCTTCCTCCAGTGCCACTTTTTTTGGACCTCCAAAAATGGACCTTCAATGGAACCCACCGGTAAATTGCCAAGTGTTCAAGGGGTGACCCCTGACAGGGCGAAGTACTTCACAAGCTCATCGATTTGGGGGTAGAGCGAGCTCGGTCGGGCCTGATCAACAAATGTTGCTTACTTGGGGATTCTTGATTTCCAGTTTATGAATTGCAGTTATTTGCCCAGAAACAAGTCAGCACATATATGGGGTGATATTTCTCAATCGCGAAGTTCGTCTGCAGGATTTTGGTTGAAGCGAACCCAAATTGAACCCTCACTGGCAGGGTTGCGCCGAACCTGAAACCAATGACGAATCGAGGGTAGACATGTGGTGAAAGGGGCCCGCTTGGTTTCCACATCCAGGGGCCACGGACTTTAGAATGAACGCTTGGGTGGAGTTGTTTCATTCAGATGGCGAGAGCTTTCTGGGAAAGGTTGGCTTGGGACCAAGAACGGGTTGAGGAGTATTGGGCTTATTGCATGAGTTCTGCACCAGATTCATTGGAGGTTGAGCGGCTGCCTTTTCATGTTTGCTTTTCGCTTAAATTGAGCTGGCTGTTGCGCGATTTTGAGTCAATAAATTTATATGGCCAACTTAGAGCTTAGGGTGTCACACACTGGGCCACTGCAGTTGCTGGATGCATCTCTGATGTTATGTCGAACACATTGTTTCAAAGTGGAGTGCCAAGATCAGCTTAATTATCAGAGTGACTTCGATGATAACTCCTAAAATGATCACCAATTCCGGTTGATTAGGGTGGGTTGCCCGTCTTGAGGCAGGATCATTTGGAAATTGTATCAGTCTACTTCAATGCATCGTTCATGAATCAATTTGGGGCATTCATTACCCTCTTTCCACCAATCTGGAGGTGGACACGGAGGTTCCCTCAAAAGGAAACTCGATTTCCCGCTTTCCGATCGTCAGCTTCCATTGGAGGGACGACTTAGGACGCTGCTCAAAGTCCAAGAGCGCGTGAGCGGGGACATCCAAGAGTCCATGAAGAGTCTGGAGCGGCTCGTGGTGGAGAGCCTTGACGACTGCCGCTTGGCGGGACAAAGCTGGTGAGGATCAGGGGGTCTGGCGCATGTTTGGGGACAAGAATTGTTGATCTACCAGGTGGATAAATCCGGGGTCGATGTTGGGCGCGGGGCTTTGAGCCAATCCAGGGAGTAGATACTTGCTAGCAGTCGCCCGGAGGTTTTTGAAGACGGCTCTCAACGGGCAGAAGACGGCTCACACCTGGTCTCTTCCCTACATCGCATGATGCTGGGCTGTCATCCATTTGCTGCTCAAGGATAGCTAAGCAGGCATCAGCTGCCAGACAATCCCTCATCTTGAAGGGTTTGTCTTGACACTTTTGGGTTGCTTGTCCACTGAAAAAGAGTCAACGTCTCACAATCTACATTGCATGAAACCGGGATCAGCAAGCCAGCTTTGTGGGGATGATGTTTCTTCTTTTGAAGTTCAGGGGACATAGGATCCCGGAGAGCCTGACTCGGGACTGACTGGCGTGTGACAGCGTGTGTATCTCCACATCGCCCGCTTAGCCGGGCGCAGTTCGCCTTCCTTGGGCTGGAATGAAGGCCAATTGCCAACTGTTTTCCCTTTCCTGATGGAAAGGAAGACTCACCTCCCCAATCTCTGGGCTTCAAGCTTTCTTGGACCGAGACCGACGGTGACTCATTCGACAGGTTGCCACGCCATCTACATGCCCATGATGAAGATCCACGCAGTGCTGGAGCAGGTGCAGGTCCAGCTGCTCACCACCATGGAGCTGAAGCAGCAGGCGCATGGAGAGAAAATGGATGCTGGCGTTTGGTGTTTGTTTGGATGTGTCGATTTCCTTTGACATTTGTGGATGTGAGATTTGTTTGTTTGTTTGTTTGTTTGTTTGTTTGTTTGTTTGTTTGTTTGTTTGTTTGTCTGTTTGTTTGGTTGGTTGGTTGGTTGGTTGGTTGTTTGTTTGTTTGTTTGTTTGTGTGTTTGTTTGTTTGTTTGTTTTGTGTGTTGCGTTTGTTGCGTTTGTTTTGTTTGTTTGTTTTGTGTGTTTTGTGTGTTGTGTTTGTTTGTTTGTTTGTTTGTTTGTTTGTTTGTTTGTTTGTTTGTTTGTTTGATTGTTTGGTTGGTTGGTTGGTTGGTTGGTTGGTTGTTTGTTTGTTTGCTTGTTTGTTTGTTTGTTTGTTTGTTTGTTTGTTTCATGGATTGGTGTCGCCTGAAGACGCCGATTCGGGGTCGCGTGACATAGACTTTTTGCCTGGACGGCTGCTCGCAACTTGTTGCCGTTGTCTTTGGATACTTTTGCTTTCAATCTGCTCTTGGCATTTTGAGGCCGGGTCTGAGCGCGCGCGCTTGGCGCTCGCTCTTTAGGTCACAAGCTCGGGTCTGGGACCTGTCTGCGACTTTTCGATGTTTGACATGTTTGCAGGGGCTGTTTGCCAGCCAGGCAGCTATTCACAACAATGTCCACTGGGTGCGAATGTCAATTGGGGACATCAAGGCCCGTGTTTGACACGGTGGCCATAAAAATGGTGAGATTTCTTGCATCGTAGCAGGTTGGCTTGGTGCCGGTGCAGGAGGACACAGAGGAGCTGGGATCAGACGACTGCTTTTCAGGGGGACGAAAAGGCGACGGGCTTTTAGGGTGTACAAACGCTTTTGGAGTGGTCCTCCTTCTTCCCCCAAGCTTCAGAACTCGTACGGTCTCCTCTTCTGGGCCCTGAAAGCGTCCAGGACCCTCAAGCCACTCCCAAGCCAGGAAGCCAGGTCTGGCACTCTGTCTACCAGCGAGTTGCCGTGTGGAAACCGAGCGATCTGGGACCAACTTGTTTGCATTCCCTATCTGACTGATCAATATTGCTCGAGGAAATGGAATAAGCGCCCCCTGAAGGGACCTCAGCTAAAACCCCTCATGGGGTGTTTGCCCCCCGTGGCAGAGCCTGCCTTTGTGGCGTGGCGCGACCATACCACTCACTGAAGTTGTCCAAGGTTCAGCCGGGGTCCACCCAAGCTCTCTTTTTACCAACTCCAACTCATGTGGTCGCCCCGGAACCACGACAACAATGGTCTAGTTTCCTTTTGGATTCCCTGCCGCACCTTCCAAAGCTTGAGGTGCCCTGGAATTCAAAGCCCAAAGACTCGCAAACACCGGAATGCAACAAACAAAAACGAAAAAAGGCCCACGACCTGAACATGAGGGCCATGAGGCATGGTTCAAAACCGTTTTGGTACCATTTTGGGGATAGGTGCACCACCGATTTTTTACTCTATTTTAGTGGGGATTGGGGTGTTCACTGGGGCTGGGCCGGGGTTTTGACCCATGGCCACATGAAAAGATCGAAGGAGGAGGCGCTGATCCACGAGGCGCTGGCGCCTTTGGGCGGCAACCAGGGCCCCAGCTTGATCTCCGTGGAGGCCTTGATCGAGGAGCAGCTCAGTGAGGCCCTGGAGCGCATCGCCCGCTTCAAGGCGGAGACCTGTGTCCTGGGCGATTTCCAGTTTCGGTCCAAGGTGGTCGCTGCCCCCCAAAAAGGGGTGGGTGGGCGGGGGAATGGGCTTGTCCATATTGTTTGGGGGTACGTTTTTTTTGTTTCAACTGTGAAGGTGATTCAACCTGGACCCCCCAGTGTGGGCTTTAGGGTCCTCTAGGTGGTCGTTTAAAAGAGCCACACCCAAATGGGGGTGAGGTCTGCAGAAGTAACAACAAATCATGGGTGCATTTTACAACTATCGACCCTCAAAATTCGAATTCACCAACGAAGACAAAAGGGATCTCCAATATGTTTGGACACATTCAATCAGGTACGGTACGTCAATAGTCATACCGCGGGGCAATCGCGATGCGCCTCAAGCGATGCTCAGGTCGAGGCTTTCACATGTTTGAAGAGGCGTGTATATGGTCAGCGGGCAGATTTGTGCAGAACTCCCTATTTTTGTTGTGCTGACTCCACTCGAGCCACGATTAGAATCCGGGTAATTGGAGGGCGAGTAGGGGACAGCCCCAGCCATACATGGTGCGGCCGCCCTCTTCATTCTTTACATGGCTTTGGGTAGCCATTTGATGCCGGGTTTTGATCTTGACTAGACTTACGCATTGATCAAGACTAGCAGACTAGCTCTTCAGGCGTCCCTTCACCTGCTTGGCCATTTTTTGTATGAACTGGTTCCCTGAATTGTAGATTTCAATGTATGACGAAGCCGCAGGAGTGTTTGTGGTACGGTTTGCTGATGGAACAGTATAGTCACCTGAAAACAAAGTTATTGGTTTTAGCATCCGTTAGTTGAACCATGAAAGGGAGACGGACAACACTTTCTGTTTACCAGGGCTTTCTGCAAGAATTCGATTCCTATTGGTGGCGCCTGCTTGGCAGGTGCTTCGGAAGCCGAACGGCTTGTGACCTCAGCATGCCCCGTGCGCTTTCGACCAAAGCAGCTTCGATGTGATCGAGCTGCGTCTTTCGGCGGTTTGAGACCGGTTGGGCTTCGTTGTGCAAGCCTCTGGGGTTGCCGCTGTGGCTTTTCCTCATTTGGCTGTGGGTCAAAACCGTTTTGGGATCCCATTTTGGTTGGTAGGTGAATTCACCGCCCATTTTAGGTTTCCTATTTTTTGGTGGTTGGATTGAATCGGATGTTCACTGGGGCAAACGATTTGGGTTTTGACCCATGGCCATTTTGGTCTCTCATGTTCATAGCGGAAGAAACATCCTCCAAAGGTGGGGATGCGTCGGCTCAGTGTCACCGGCTCGCCCTCAGAAAACCTGGGCGGCAGCGTCGCTGCCCATGTCAGCCAGGCCCCAGAAGCCATTTGGCTGTGTCTTTGAGGGTACCCCTTTCTTTTGGGCTGGTTAAAAGATAAATCAAAGAGACACTGCCCTTTTGGGGTTGGTTAGAGGGACACCAAGCATTTCGTTCCACTTGAACCTGTCTTGGGATTTTGCGGCGAAACCCTACATTTGCAGGTCCTAGCTCACATGGGCAAGCAGTTAACGCATGGACCCAGCGCGTTCCTCGCTCGCGGGGCCCGCGCTGGTGTTCCTCGTCCTGCCGCATTGGAGAAAAGCCTCGTATTTTTCCGACAGAGGCGGACAGGCGTGAAAAGGTCGCTGTGTGTCTCAGTCATTCGCATGATCCAGGGAGGTGGATGTTTAAGGTCATACTGGTTGAATGCCTGCCTTGGAACTGTGCAGGAATCAGTCTGTTTACTCATGGAATATTATAGTTCTCTCCCATTTTCAATCAATGTATGAATTCAGCGTAAGCATTCTATCTCACAAGAGATTGCTTGTCCCGAAGCCGAAGCAGTCCTTCTGCATGCACATCGGTGCTTTCTTGATCCCTTCGTCCATAACATGCGAGCGACCTCCGCTGAGCGGAGTTTCGAAACACGTCTCATTTGCACCCGATGCGGCATGGGCACAAGACTCCCTTGATTTTGGCCGGCATGTTCTTCATGTGAGGCTACAGTCCGTAGCCTTTGGGCTGTACACTGCGTGTTTTTTGTTTTGTTTTTCAACCCTTGCCCGAGCTTTGACTTGCGTCCAGTGCTTAGACCCCTTTGGCATCCTAGAAGGCACCTCGATGTATTGGCTGAAGCTACTGGCATGCTTCAAAGCAGTATGCTGCAGCGGCATCCTGGTATATTCTTGTTGTTTGTGGTTGGCAACACGAACCAGAGCAGGGTCAAGTGGTGCCTTTGTTTTGGGGATCTTCCATGGATTCATCAGACTGCATCCAGATTATCCCAAGACATCCACTCGCAACTCAGATTGCTTCCACAGAATTCGGGAAATTCAGCCGCCAGCGGCCAAAATTCGTTTTTGCTTCTTTGCCTTTCTCTTTGCCAGGCCAGAAACCCCCCCCCCCCCTCAGTCCATGCCCGTCGCCAGATCCGGATGAGCCCCCGCGGCGGCGTGCTGGGCTCGCGGAAGCCCAAGGCACGCTTTGTGCTGAAGTGGAGATGGCGAGCTTTGATAACCGAGCGCCCGGGAACTTTAAGGATGAGGGCGCCTTCTCAAATGGAACCCTTCTGGCTGGGATATGGCGAGCTTTGATTGGAGCGCCTGGGAATTTTGGATAGAGCAATTGTTTTCTAGGGCCAGGGAATCAGGTGAAAGTTGCGACAGGTCCTTACGATGCTAGTAATCACGAGCAAGCCAAGCACTTGGACGAATGTGCCTGGGTACCTGGACGAATGTTGTTTCCTGTCACCAAGGAGTTTGACTTTGGCACAAAGGGTATCCTGACTGCTGAAGGTCTTAAAGATGAACTCGTGTGCTCACGACGAGTATATATTTTTTCTTGGCAATCCTTGAGCCAGAAGTCCTGTCTGGCAGTCGCGACCGCAGCGAAGCGCAGTATCCTCATGGACCCAGCTTTGATCAAATCTACTCTTGGAATTATCATAATTATCCATGAAGCCTGAGATCTGTTAGGGGGTGCTGGGATCAGAACGTCTTGGCATCACGTGTGCAGTGGCGCAGCCTGAGCCGCTGTGATTTCGCTCAGCTCCAGCCACAGCCTGAGGTCCTTGCCCAACTTCAAGTCGCTGCTGCCATTTGGAAGTCGGGGCCTCGTGCCCTGGAGCAAGTGGTGCAGACCCAAGCTAGACTGGCAGCATCTCTGTGAAAGTGCCAACATGTCCTAAAGTGGCTGTCATTGGGTCCGCATTGTGGCTTCGAGCTTCATTGTTTTGCTTTGTGCGCGCCTGTGATTCGATCACACGCCAGTCAGTGCCTTCGTAACAATGGAGCGCCACTGACTCGACACACATGCGGTTGCTAAAGCCTCTCGGATCGGTCGGCGCCAGGCTTCGAGGGACCGCCAGAGGCCAGGAACAAGGCTCGGACTGGGGCACCTTTCCGGGTTGGAGTCCGGACGGCCAACTGTAACAAGGGGGTGCTATATCATTGAAGGAATGTTTGTACTTTTTGGGTTTGCCTTTTGTCTCCACTGCCATCCGATGCCATCCGACAAGCAAGCAAGCCAGCGAGCGAGCGAGCCAGCATTCAACCCTGAACGTATCCCTAGAATCTCACACCCACTCGAAACCACCGACTCATAGCAACCCCAAGCCCACCCTAAAGCGCCTGTCAACTCTTCTTAGCTGACCCTAATCCCACACTAAGCAAACTCCAACAAGTCAAGCCGGAAGAACCCTTTCCTTAATCCCACGTTGAAGCTTCACGTATTGATGCGAGTCACGTGTTGCTTCCCATCATGTTTTCCACGAAGTCAGCCCATGTAGACAAACAAACGTGTATCGTGCACAGTTTTTGCCTTTTCAGGACTTGGTCGCTTCAAGCGTGGCAGAACCATCAAGCTCGCATGGCATAGCTTTTCAGGCTGCAGGGAAGCTTAGGGCGTATCCGTCAATCCATGTCTTTCGCCGCCCAGCTTGGCAGTGCGGCGCAGGCAGCGCAAAATGCCCACAGAAGCGCGTCTGAGCGATTCATCCAACAGCAGGTCGAAGCATTCAAGAAAAGCTGCCAGGACTGCGCGGCCGCAGGCGACACAAGTGCTGAGATTATGCTTCATGAACACTCGTTCCCGACAGGCCCTGGCACTTTGACCCGTGACGGCGTTGTCAACGGATTCGTGGACGGTCTCAAGCGCTTGGGCCTGAAGGTCAAACAGCCAGGGTGGAGTTTCAATGGGAACTATCATTACAAGACCGTCACAGGCTCGTGGGACCTGGTGGCCGCCGAGCCCGGGGAACCCAAGGCGGGCCACGAGCCCAAGGCCGGCCACGCCAGCACCTGCCCCATCTGCATGGAGACTCGGCCCGTGGTGGCGCTGGTGCCCTGTGGCCACGTGGTCTGCGGCGTGTGCCAGAGAGACCAACGCTTGAGGCAGTGTCCGCTGTGCAGGGAGCAGGTCTCCGCAGCGACAAAGGGCCTCTTCCTGCAATGATCAGATGGGTATGGGTCAAAACCGTTTGGGGATCCCATTTTGGTTGGTAGGTGAATTCACCACCCATTTTAGAACCTATTTTAGTGGCTGGATTGAATCGGATGTTTACTGGGGGCTAGCTGGGATTTTGACCCATGACCAGATTGAGACAGTGGATATGGTTGGATGCGACTGCCCAGTTTTGTGGATCTTCGTGTCGGGCACGGCTGCCACAAAGAGCAGCAGGCCGCCTGAGGAGTAATTCGCAGGAGCCACACAGTACAAAGCGCTCCGATTTGCATGTGTCGTACTGCAACCTTGATTTAAGGATGCCATGTTTGCAGGTCAGTTGCAAAGAATATATGCAACTAGGCGAACCTGGCTTTTAAAAGAGAGGGAACAAACACGATTTGCAGCAGTGCTGTGGCATGACGGCACTGGTGGTTGACAATGTGAATCACAAGGCGCCAACTTTGACGACCCAAGTGGGCCTTGTCGAGTCACTGAATGTTCAGCTTTTTGCGTCTGGCTTGCGCTTGGCTTTCCATGGGAGGAACTTGATGAACCATGTTCGGCTTTGCTGCATGCGCTCCTGGTAGGTGTTTTCTAAGGTCCTACATACCGGACTCCCGTAGCCATTTCTAGCCGCTGGTTTGGGGTATTGCCCTTTGTGGGGTTAGGACAGATAGAGGATTACTTTGGTGCATGTTGCCAAGGGATGTTAGGACTTTACAACTTTTTGCCAACTAAAATGGGCTTTCCGCATTAAACCACTAACAGTTAAAAACTTTTAGCAGGGGAGCGGATTTCGCCACCGAGATTACCCGTGGGATTACCTTCCACTTGCCGTTTCCATTTGCCGGAAAGCTGCATGCCCTTGCCAGGCCATGGCGAAGCCCGGGGCCGTGCCGGGAACCCGCGGATGGGATGGCGCCGGGTTCGCTTGGGGTGGGTTCCCCGGCGTATCTTTGGGCTGCGTGGGATGGGTTCTCCGACGGAGGAGTCAAAGGGTTCGGTTGAGATGAGGCTTCGGGATCTGTCAACTTTCAATTCCGCCAAGTCTTTGTCATTCGGATTTGTCCAGCTCGAAGGATGCCTGATGAATACTCCGACAAGGGGCCCCACACATCGTGACATAGGGGATCGACGTGGATCTTTGCGAAGAGCTCTGGGCAGGATACTTTTGAAGGGATCCGCAGGCTCTCTTTGGAGGATCTTGGCAACCGCTTGTTTGCAATGTTGTTTTGAGGACGTCTGCCAGAACCCTGGGCGCATTCTCTTTCTTTGCATAGGCTCTGCACTGCGGCCAAACTGGGTCGTTCAAAATAAATCCGGAATCCTTATGCCAAGTTTTGTGGTTTCCCGGTGTCCCTTGTGGTGTGCCACGGACGGAGGGATTCGGGATCAGATGTCGAGCCCTCCACCTTGTGAGGCCCGGACGTGGCGCTCCCCGTGCGGGGTGGCCTGGTGGAGCTCTGGTGTCCTTGTCGACGAGTTGGTGTGGCTACACCGCGTTGAGAGCAAAGAGATGTTGTCTTCAACTGGTTCTGTTTGATGCTTCTTTGTGTTCTTGCCCCACTCAAACCTCAGTGACGCCCACAATATTGATTCAACACGCTTGGCTGGTGTTAGCCCAAGATCACAGTGTGGTGGAGCTGAAATAGCCGACACGATTCATTTCTTCTTGAAATAGGGCAAGGCCTGCGGTTCGTGGGCAATGACGGCATCGGCCTGAGCAGCAGCCAGCCTTTGACGATCACAATCATATTCGTATGGCGTATCTTTGGTGCATTTGGCCAAGGGATGTTAGGACTGAACAACTTTTTGCCAACTCATGGGTTTTCCATCAAACCACCAAAAGTTAAACTTTTAGCAGGGAAGCAGAAAGCAACCGAGGTATTCTAGGCTTGTTGTAGTGCCACCCAACCCTCAGCTCTGCACTGGGAGGGCGCAAGCTAATAGATTGCACTGATTTGCAGTCATAGATGCAGGATTCCGCGCACGAAAGTGCTGCGCCCTTGCAAGGCTATGGGACTCTGCGAGGCAACACAAGCATTGGCATGATCCAACACCCCACAGCCACGTGCATGCATATGGTTTCATCAGCCGCCCTTTGCCCCTCTGCTGTGCTGGTCCAGATTGTTAAGGAAAGCTTGTTTCGTTTTCCAGGAGGCCCATCCCCAAGTTGGTTGCTTGCAATGAGGTCGTGTCAGAAGGGTGCTTTGGGGCCGTTCAACCCATTTGTTGAAAGGAGGATAAACATCACGCAGCAGCTATTTTGACTTCTTCCCCTCATCAGCTCATAAGCACCATGCAGCGCCTGGAAGACAACTCATGTACTTGTTTCCACTTGCCCAACAACTAATGCTGCTCTACCATCCTCCCAATTCGCCTTGTTCCGCGGATGCCAATTTGTTGTGTAGCTGCGGGTCGCCCACTGAAAGAAACCATAAATCGAAAGCAAAAAGCACTGAGCTTGGGACAAATGGTTTTGGATTTCCCTACTTGAAACGCAACCTTTTGGCTACCATGGCAAGCTTTGCATGTGCCTAGGGCGCTGGACAAGTCTCAGCCTCACCGGCGGCCGGGGGCCCAGGGCCTGGGCCGGCGACCTCGTTCCCTACTTCCCCCAGGAGCATCCTTTGTGCTGAGGTTGGATTCCTTTGATGCTAGGAGGGATCGGTTTTACTCTAAAGGCAGCGGCTTCCAAGATTGTTGTCATGAGGTTGGTGCATGAGTTTCGTGTTGATTAGGAGGTTGGAAGGCGTCGGAGTGTTGTAATCGCCCTGGTCTTCGAAACTGACATGCAGCCCAAGGGAAGCTTGCCTGAAGACTGTCCTGTCCCGTTCCTCTCCAATTCGTGGGTGCAGGTGTGCTGTACCCCCTAATGTTGCATGGTCCATGGTATGGACTGGATCTTCTTGCACGTTCCAAGCTGTATGACGTAACCAAGCAACTAGTCCAGGCTCAACATGCCAGAAACTTGGGAAATGGAGCTCACGCCAGAGCTTAAGACAACCAGTTGACAGAAATTCACCGTCCAATCGCGCCGGGCCATACTGCCACAAGAAACTGCTCGGCGCCCAGGCGCGGCTCCGGAACTACCTGGCGTCGAAGGCGCGGGAGTAGCCAGCCGCGGGCGCGGACGAAGAGCTCCGTGTTCCGGTTTGGCTGACTTGGGACTGAAAAGCTCGCAACGAACGGGAAAGCCAGGGTGGAAAGTTGGCTTCTGATTTGTGCGCGGTGCGTTGCATTGTCATTTCGATCACAATGCGCCCTAAAGGGAGTTAACAGACTTGGAGGCTTGCTGCGTTTTAACGGGATCACGTCACCTCGATTTGTTTGTGGGGATTCATGATTATTTGACAGTGTTGGGGCTGAGCTTACCCGGGCATGCCAGCTCTTTTGAATGTGGGACAACCATTTGTTCGGTTTCTGCCAACAAACAGGGAGGTTTCAAACAAGTCAAAAAAGGTTGCTCCTTCGCTGGAGAGAGGGGACAAAGCCTCCAGCAGGGCAAGGAATTGAGCAGCCGATGCAAACTGGCATCGACGAGAAAACCACGCCGACCAGTAGTCTTAAACAGCTGGTGCAAGTTCGGACCTGTTGGAGCTCATTTCTTATCGCTCACGGAAAAGCCATAGTGATGCTTTCAACCTGGCTCGTCAGGCTGTCTGGGGTCTCTATTTACCAGAGCCGGGTGAAACGGAGAAAAACATGTTTCTCGATTTGTCTATTTTGTTGCTATGTCAGAAAGTGCAGACTCTGCTTCGTATTTCTGCCCTCAAGGGCAAGTTCAGACTGGTCACGGTGTCACCGGCCAGGTGACCAGAAAACGCATGACTGGCACGGGGCCTCTGAACGATTTGCACTGAGACGGCGTTGTCGCGTGGGACTTCGTACATGCTCCAAGTTGGGAAAGTGAACTACCCCTGGGTTTAAGTGTTCGTTGAAGTCTATCTTGGGTAAATCAACAAAATGGATTATTGTCTAGATGTAGACATCCGCTGCGCGGAGGCTTGAAGGGCCAACATCAGAACAACACTTTTTGGGCCTACCTTTGCTGCAAAAAGCAAGTCTTTAACTCAACGAGCTGTTGGAAGATCACAAAGGCTGCAGGATAAAGAGGAGCCAGGACGCGACTGTGAGTACCCAGGCCAGGGAGAGGTAGGGCTGAACCTGGCATTTTGGGGAGTATGAGGGTGTGGCACCAGGTTAGCCAAAACGCTGGCCGAACAAGAAGCAGCATCCGCTTTTTCGATGCCTTCAACTCAGACTCGTTTTTGGGCGAACTGCGGTGCAAACATGGGTTAGCTTCATTATACGTTTGGCTTCACAAATAGCCGAGAAGCTCCGCAGCGGATGGACTCGGCTAAGGCAGCCTGCGGCCTGGAGCCAAAGAGGGGTGCGGGCAGGGAGTGTGGCTATGGGCGACGGACGCAGAAGTTTGATTTCTCGCTTTTGGGAAGTCTTGTTTTGGTCGCATGTTTTCCTGCCGCAACTCATGTGACCAACCCAACTGGAATGAAGTAGAATCTACAAATGGCAACACTTGTAAACTGTTCGACACTCGCTTAGACGACACCATCGTTCAAGGGTTGTGTTTGCTGCACTAGCTAACTTTGAGTTTTCGCACAAGATCAGGGTCTTTGCATGATCGCTTCGGATCACCAAGCTATTGCGAACTTCAGAAAGTGCAGCTATCATACGGCACATCTAGATAATCCATCCTGTGAATCATGTCAAGCGAGTGTGCAAAGAAATCTCTGGACATAAGTGCGATGCGCTTATGAAGGTCCCACACTGCATTCCGTGTTCCACAATGCACATGTCGCAGCGACGTAGCCCTCACCTTACACCAGACACGCACTATTCCACTGGCCAAGGACGCCGGGAGGCGTGACGACTGCCCGGACGCTTTTCTCGGCTAGAGGTGCTGCGGTTGAGTTGAGTTTGTTGACTCCAGGAACCGAATCAATATCAGGACCCCGCCATGTGGCATTGTGAGGTTGGTTTGTGGCTTTTTGTTTGCTCTTGCTTTCATGTGCGTTCTCTTGTGTTTGCTCTGATGTTTACAAAGAACATGCGTAAAAGGTCAGTTGTCTGGCCCCAGTCTGAAAAGACGTGGCTGCATGTGGTTTGCAGCTTTCTGCCATCTCCATATCCTGCCTTGGTTGCAACAATGTTGAATCAATTGAAGATTGGCGGCTGGGCGGCACTTGGGATTCAAGACACAATTTGGACCCATGTTTTTTTGGCAACACATTGACTTTGCTGCATGAAACGCGAAAACAAACATGTTCGTCACCTTCTGGAAGGAATGGAAGGAGCTGAAACTGGCATAGCTTTGACCCCCTCAACTTTGGGTCAGGTGAGCCGGATGGAGCAGAATCAGGCGGGCACGAGTGGCCAGCTGGGGGCGGCTTGTTTTCAGCTAGATGTGCTTAGTCAAAAGATGCGGACCATGTATGTTCTAGGAGTGTTTGTCCATACCGCATCAAGGTGGAGCAGCTTACAGCATGCCATTTATCTGTATTTTTTTGGGCTTTCTGTCAAGTTGTTTTTTCTCCGGCCGTCCGCAAGATAGCCAGGAAGCGACTCAAGGTCGTGTTGAATGTATTTACTTGCGGCTGATTTGGCAGACCTTCCAACATCCCGGCTCTTCCAAATGCGGGCTGTGTGCCAGACATCAATACGACGGCCCCGTTGGGCCTTGTTCTTGATCCCGTGTAGGCCGCGTCGGCGGCGCGGGGTGGCCGAGAGGGAGGTGTGGTTTGGTGATGCGAGAAGGACGAATTCACAAGCCCAGAGATCGATGATCCCATGCGCTATCGAAACACACAGGTGGTGCCAAGGTCTCGGCCACAAAGAATCTGCTTGGCATGCTTGTTTGCAGCATTTAGTGCACGTTGCGTGATTTCCAAACTCGACCATTTTGCATCCACCACTGTGTTTAATACAGATTGCCAACTCTCGGCAGGGTGGGCTGACAATTGTCGGCACATTGACCCCTTGACAGATATACAGCGAACAATTGACAGGAAGGCAAACACCTACCCGCACACAGACGGTTCAAGCCTATCCACCATGCCGGTCATTTGCAAAACTGCTGCGAATCATGCTGGATGTTTCTAAAGAGTCAGGTATGTACCACTGTTTGCCATTGGCCACAGGCCAAAAGCGACCTCACTAGTTCCAATGACCGCCTTTGCAGGAGAGAAATTACAACCCTACCCTTCTAAGAACCCCTTTCAAGAAGGTGCCCTCGTTCCAAAAATCATAGCGGAGGGGAGGCCTTGCCAAGCGGCCTGAGACTTTCTTGGGGGTGAGAGCTGAGGATAGCTCTGGCAGCCGGGAGCAGCTTACAGAGGCCGCTTTCCGAGTGCGTTGCTTTCTTGAACATAGTGGCCTTGTGGGGTGTTTTGAATTCCAGGAACTCTGTAGATTCCTGGGTATGCACTTGGAAAACGCCTTGACAATGGGGGAGCCACTTTCAGTGGGTCTTGGTGGGCAAACGCAATAAACAAAGACAGAACGGGTCAATCAAAATAATTCAGGATCAACAAAGCTTTTCGGACCAATACTCTTGTGTAGTTCATCTGGGTTTCGGCGGGGGGGTTCAGCGATTAAGGTACGGTGCCCCTGCAACAGTTCTCAAGCGGTGAATTTCAAGTTTTGGCCTGAAACACATGGGAGACACGGGATCAGCAAATGAGGAATTTTGACCCCCAATAATTCTGAATTGCAGACCCTCCCCTCAACAATGAAGGATTTGTTGGCCGCCATAAATCCTTCCTTGCTGGCCCCCATCAGCAGTTAAGGAACCTCTCAGCGTCTCCAACAATCCTTCATTACTGATTCAGTCTTTGTGGCCCTCCAAAATCCTCATTGCTGGTGCGGACATTTGAGTCCCCAAGAGCCTTAATTGCTGAGCCCCTCAGCCATTAAGGAGTTGTCAGTCCCAAGCTGTCCCCCCTCAGGCAGTCACGGATGTGTGGGCCTCACACATCCAGACTTTCGGACCCCCGTCGCAATTGAAGACGAACGTTCGATATCATGAATTGCTGACCCCGGAAGTTGTCTCCTTGCTAGAAACTCAGAGTGTGCGGCAGCATGGACTATAGTCTAGTGCTGTGGGCTTGGGGAAGGGTCAAGCCACATTTCGCTTAGTTACTGAAAGGAAGCTATCAAGGATGGTGATGGCCAAGTTCCCCTAGTTGCCTTTGGACTTTTGCCTTGCTATTCTCCACCCAAGTCAAGAGTACGCCACTGTCACAGTGCTGGAAGCTGTCAAAGAGCAACAAGGCTTCCAGCATGCCATCAACACGACTGATACGCTTTATGGCTCAACCACAGAGGCCTTCCTTCCGCTTTTTCGCACCGGGCTTCGATTCCGCTCTAGGCCTTGGAGACGGTGCTTCTGGTGGAACCCTTTGCGCAGGCGAGCGGAGGTTGCGGCGGAAGTCCGGGTGAGGAAATGGCGGGTCCATGGTGGGTCCAACGCGTCTGAACTTTGTTGAGTGTTACCCTTCTGTCCTCTAATATGGAACCCACCAGAGAGGAGTAACATGGTCTTCCTAGCTGCCTAGCCGGAGTTGATGTCAGTGTGTGGAAGGTATCCCATGCTGGGTCGAGATGGCTTGCCGGGAAAGATATAGGAGTGTCAGAATGAGAGAAAGGCGGAGCTGTTTGAGATCATACACGTGACTCGCTCCTGGTCTGTCTGAGTTGGATGGATGCAAGGCGAATGTGCTAGGTCTCCGCAGCTGGGACCCGACTCGCGCAACAAGATACCATTCTTTCTGAAGGACACACATGACACGTGTCATCGCTTCGTCCATTGTAAATGCAAATGATGCAATTTGTTATCCCAGCCTTGATCAGACATGATCTGGTCATGGCGCTTTTCGAAAGCAAGCCGTCTTGAGGTGTATGAAGTTGACATGCCTTTCATTTGCTTGGTGGCTTGGCGTGCTCTCCTTAGAATGCAAGTCGAGGCGGCCAGGAGCAAGATTTGTGCCAGGCCCAACTTGAGCAAACAAAAACCAACCGCGGCCCGTTGATAGATCTGGAAACTCATGCGCCTGCAGGTGTCTGCGCTGGAGGACTACATCTTTGAGAGGCCGGTTTGCGCAAATTGGGGCCCCTCGATCAGCCTAACATGCCGACGTCTCGCAGGGCTCCTCGAAGCCTTTAAAACTGCCTTTGATTTCTTTTCCAGAAACCACAGTTCTGCCCTTGTACCCAGGGTTTTTGGAGCACCCTTGTCTTGTTTCTATTGCATCTTCTGAACTCCGCGTTTCTCTGAACGGCACCACTTTGACTTGCAGTTGTCGGATGTGCTTCGCGTCGTGGGTGATCTGAGTTCCTTCTTCCTTGCTCCCTCCTTTGCGTGTTCAATGGACTCGACGATCGAAGAGTGAAGGGTCGGTGCCAGTTGCCCCCAACTTTTCAAGTCGACTAAGTATGCCCTCATACATCCTTTTTGATTTGTGGGCGAATCATGGAGAAGAGTGAAGATTGCTTACTTTTACGAAGGGCAGTTTGAATCGATCTCGGCAGCACATTTTGCTTGGCAGAAGGTCATGCCGGAAGAACGGAGAACCCCCCCAAATCGGTTGGACATAAATCCGACCATGCTTTTGCTAATATCCAAAGAGGATCCGTGACCCATTGGAGTTCATAACCATTTCAGAGTGATTTGCGCACGGGCTGGCTCAGAGTTAGACGCACCGCACTGGATTCGACAGGCACGGATCCAAGGCCAGCGAACAGCCAGGACAGCCACGTGGACGGGCAGTTGGTCGACCAAAACCCAAGCTGAAGGCAGGTTTTAAGAGTTCTTTCGTTGATCTCTCTGATGCTCTCCATTGGCTTCTCTTCACCCGTTTGTTGAGACTTTGGGGTAAATTCAATTTCAGCGACTTTCATTTCCGGGCCCTGTGATCCGGTGCTTTGGTTCGGCTGCGACCCATGTTTGGAGTTGCGAGCTAGCGTCAAATCCTCCGAGCTTAACTTCAAACCGGGGGATTCGGAAGCAATACTGTGGATGGATGAAAATAAAGCACCACCTAAGAAACCCTGATGATTCCCCTGTAGAATACTAACATTCCGCGTAGAAAACTTACATTCCCCTGTAGAATACTAACAAACAATGGTTTCACACCATGGTTTCAAAGTGCGAAATGGTTTTCGTCCATCCAAAAACCAGTCGCTGCACCACACCCAGCTGCTCCACCGGCCGAAAGACTTCGAAAAATCACTCTTAAGTCCCCGAACATATGTTCACCACTTTGGTGTGTTGAGATGGCTGTGGGTCAACACCAATGGTACCATTTTGGGATAGGTGCACCTCCATTTTAGTCTATTTGAATGGGGATTGGGATGTTCAACCTGAGAGCAAAGCAAAGCAAAGCAAAGGATCAACGCACACAAACTTGGTTTCACCACCCATCAGTTATCGAACCTCTGCAAGGGTTGGAAAGATGATGGTCGATAGTTGTTGACGTGTTCATCCTATGATTGTGACTCAATTTTGTTTCAAAGTACCTCATGCGATTCATTTGGGCTGTTCGAGTCAGGGTTCGCGGGCGCGGCGCCGCAGGAGATGGCACCGGTAGCGAGCCGGCTCGCGTGCGATTGCTGGGGGCTTAGCCGGGTGTGATCCATCGCAGCGAGTCATGGACCTGAAAGCGACGGTGCCTCGGGGTCTCAGGATGCCAGCCACATGCCGGGGCTTACTTCAAGGAATACCATGGAAAAGTAAAGCACAACACACATGAGCCAAAGATTGCACGATTGAGTGGGTAACCGTACGACCTCTCAGATAGGCGTTGAAGAAAAACAGCGCACTACTCACGTTGAATATGTGAGTTGAGGGGAACCCCAGTTGAGCGGCGCCTGGGTCAGTCGTCCTCTCAGCTATCCGCATGCTCTTCTTGGCTCAGTGGGCCAAGACTCGATGCCAGTGGTCCGTCCAGGTACCCAGGGCTCTTCTGTAACCATGCCATAGATTCGTGGGTCTCGTTCCCACGAAGGCTTGACTGAGTCCAAAGATTGCCATGAGAAGGCCCTGTTCAGCACATGTGTTTGTCCACGTTTTGTACATTTTATGTACCAGACGCGTGATCCACGCAGCCGGCTGGCAGATTGCATGACGTTTAGAGGGGAGTTTTTGCAAGCGTGCTCGCAGCGCCAGCTCCAAGGGTAAATTAGATTGTCTTTTGCGCAACATAAGGCATGAGACATGAACTCATACAGATGATTCATCAGCAATGCACAACTGTGAGGTCGAATCACCGATGCGAATCTACGAAGCTTCATCCCTGGCAAACGGAGTACTATAAAGTCACGTCCGTTAGGTTTGCGATTTCTTTCGCAGGCAGCCGATGCGACACGTATTAGTCACTTTTGTAGAGGACAGGATGCACCGCCGGTTCCAGAAAGTTGTGAAGGCTTTGAGTGGCTTTGGGGAGTGTTGCGTTAGTACTGCGCGCGATAAGCAGAACAAGGGCATTGCGCAAGGTGCAAAACTGAATCGTAGATACTTGCAGCATGGCGAATCCTTAGAAAATAGCATGAGCTATCATTTGGCCCAGCTTCAAACGAGGCAGCACGGCGAAGTGGCGGCCGCGCTCATGAGATCGAAACGAAGGGTTCATCTTGCCCAGGAATAGCAAGCAGCCGCCTCCGCAGCCGAAGGCCAATCGCAAAAATCGCCACACGGGACCGGCAGGGTTGGGCGATTTTTTTCTTTTCAAAACGATGAGACCCTTGCCCCTGTTTAACGGAAATGCAAAGGAGGTTGAGTTTAAACATGTTCTAGCAGGCCCTAGGATCTGGTGATGCAACTTGATTGCTTGCTTGAACCCGCATTTTTGCGGGACGCAGATTTCGGGCAATGGGGTCTCATGGTTGCACCATGGAAGCCTTTGCTGAGAATCAACGGCAAACTGCTGCCAAGGCTGAGAAGGACACCACAGGGGAAACAGCGCTTTTGGCGTTCCCCTACTTTGACACACCCCATGTCCTGCTGTGTGGGATTGAAGTAGCTGAGGTCCGGTTGAGTGGTGCAACGTGTGGGGGTGGTGATTTAGTAGCTGGTGACTGACTTGATGCACGTGACAAAAGTCATGGAGAGCCGAACAAAATGGAAAGCAAACTCATTACATCTTGGATATGAACCCGGCGTCGATACGGTAAACTAGTTGACTTTCCGAATGACGATCGGGGCATTTCCGAGTGGAGAGAGACGCATACAAACACACATGCACATAATGTATAGTATATGTATATATAAATATAGACATACATGACAGTTCACTTTGTATATTTCAGGATTGTGAACGTACTCCTGCTAACATGCTCCATCCACAAATTTAGGGGTGTGGCTGTGCATTGAGTCGTGCTTCATTGAGTTGTGCTTGATGTGGCGAGAGTCAGAATGCTGGCCTTCGATTGAAAGGGGGTCCTTTTGGGGATCAAGTGCCCGAAATGTTGGCCCCATGCTGATAGCCGCAACCCAACTTCTGAATCAGGGCCCTGGAAGGAAAGTTGCCCCAGTCAAAAAAGGACAGACCCGGTCCGAGGGTCAACATTCCTTGCGACAACCAAGCCATGACCTGTGGCCGTGTAGGCTCGCGCCAAGACCCAGAGCGGCGATCTCAACGAAGCCCGCTCTGCCACGGAGCCCAACACCAGGGAGCCAGAGTGCAAGACCAGTGAAAGCGGCGGCTGCCACGAATTTAAGGGGCTCTTTACCGCACATTTTCCCTTGGGTGCAAGGGAAGTACTCAGATTTGGGTGGGGACGCAAGGCAACACTGCCTGCGTTTGATTTGTGGTGTGTTACGTTGTGCTGTTGTTGGTTTTGTCAGCAAATGCTGTTGCTTAAGCATGCTGTTTGCCTGCGCCGGTTTACTGTGGGCAGTTTCGCAGGGTTGTTGGTGGGTGGACCCCGTTCTTACAGGGCTGTGAAAAAAGGCCAAACAAGTGAGTTCTGGTGGTAGTGACCCTGATGCCGGGCAACGCTATTGCAGATTGAGGCGATTGAGGCAGCTCGCTTGGATTCCATCTCGATGCGACACCCTCCAATTGCAAAATTTAGCCTCACCCTTGGTCCCGGGTGCACGTCATGAGGTTTCAATGCGTAGCTCTTGGTGCGATTTGGCTTGCCTGCTTCCGGGAAGCACTGGTAGACTTCACCCTGCCCAGAATGCCAGAACCGTCGATGACAAGTCTTGGATCAAAACACACCAAGATAAACCCTCACCTCTTTTTGCAACCTGTGTTTGAGCAAAGATGGTTTTAAGGATTGCTAGGTAAAGGTTATGTCGCCGTGACACCAAATCATGTGTTAGTATGTTGATCCCTGCAAGAGCTGGCCCTGTTCAGTCCTACTGTTGAACTTTGAGAGCAACCTGAATATTTTGGGTATAGCAATGATGTTCAGATTTCATGTGCAAAGTCGGCTGCTCTTCCTCAAGCAATGAGCTAACCATTTTTTGCCAATCGCTTCGGATAGTCATCAAGATGAGTATTGCTATTTGCCACCACTGTATGCACCATTTAGCTATAGACTAGAAAGTTGGTTTGCCCACTCCACACTGCAATGCCTTCATTTTTGTGTTCCTTTCAGTACGCGTGTAAAAGTATAAAGGGTAGTTCCTTTTTCGCAACGCACCAGACCATGTTGAAAAACAACAGTTCTTGTTCGTCTGTTTGTCATTTGATCGCCTGTTCAAATTCGAAACAGGTCATGTCCCTCCTTGGAGTTGACTCCTCCAGATGACAGGGGTTTCATGATGGACTCCGCGAAAGGGTCCAACTTGTGGTCACATCTTTTTGACACATTCCTCGGACATGCCGAAGACGGCAAAAGCACGCGCTTTGTGTTAACCCTCGGACCAGTTGTTAGTTGTTGGTTCGCCAGAAAGGCGACACCCTGGGTTTCTGTCTATCTTGGGCACTGTCAGCTTTGCGCTCCCAACTGGAGTCTCCTCCAAAACGTTTTTATTTTTTTGGGGTATGGGCCGGAGTGATTTTCTGTGTGCCCCAGATTTTCAGGTGACCTTGAATTGGTGCTTTGGATTGGTGGTTGGGGGATTGAACCCCTGGTCCTTGCAGATGGTAAAATATCTGAGATGCGAGCCGAGGATGCGGGCGCCAGCTCCCCGATGCCCTTGGACCCCGCGCTGCCGCAGGCGCTTGAAAGGGTTCTGATGCGCAGATGGGAACCCGACCAACACCAAAAAAAGGTGTGTTTTTTTTTTGAGATTTGGTTGGTGGGAAAACACGGAGCCACTAATAAGTCATTGCGGTTTTTGGGATGCTCCTTCTGCGCTTGGTCGGGTTGCGTATCTAAACATTTCTTTGAGGACCTTGACGCATTCTGATGCATGTTCTATGGTCAAGCAGATTCTGTCATGGCCATTTGAGCCAGGCAGCCTTGCGATTGGATTGGACATGCATCAATTTTTGACTTGCACGTCGTCTATCCAAGTAGAATTGCTTCTAACGCTCTAGCAAGAGTTGCAATTTATTGCATACGGGGCTCATTGCGACGAGCCAGTTCTCTTTGCGAAGATTCTGCAACGTCAGACTAAGGATACGAGATACGTTTATCAATCTTAAGATATGCTGTCCGTTTGCATGTGTCATATTGCTACATTTTGAGTAGTTCGTAACACTGAGTGTTGTGGATCTCAAACTCTGGGATCAGCTACAAATCAAAGCATTCAAGGAGCAAAGCAACTGGCTCCTTCCTCGCATGGGACGGCCTTGGTTGGAATGTCTTTTTGCGAGTCCACGGCCACGTGTTTGAACGGAGGACAGGATAGCTCAGCTCTTCAGCCGTTCGGAGCCACCGTCCTGGCATTGTGCTTCTCGGCCGCCAGGGCGCGAGCATGCCAAGCGTTCAAGCCCCAGTGTGTCTGTGTGTGTGTGTGTGTGTGTGTGAGGAAGGGCGACAAGGAGACAGAAGGGAGGGACGGACAGAGAGGTTGCAGGCGAGAGGCTGCAGGCTCTGTGGCGAGTTGTTAGTTTTGGGGGCTTGCAGAGTTGAGCAGCGCGGTTCATAGCCATATTTTTCTCTCAGCTTGCCAAGGAGTCTCGGCTCGGAAGTTAGTCACCCCGTCCAAATGCGACAGGAATTGGATGGCATGGCTTTGAGTGTTGGGGCTTCGCGTGCGCAGCTCAGCGTTGTGCTCTTCAGGTAGCGGACAAGGCTGAGTGCGGAGCCCCAGGGAAAGAGACTGCTTCAGCCAATGGAGGGCTTTGGTATGGGGCTTTGGTATAGAGGCTGCCTTCTGGACACAGCTTTTGACCACAGACACGCGCCTTTTTCAGCTATTCCCGACATACATGCAATGGCCGGCTCCAATTGAATTAGTAGCCTTGAGGTGCCATCAATGGCTTGGAGCAGCCTGGTTTCAACAAATATCGTTCCGCCAAACGGACAAATGTTTGCCTAGATAGGTGGCTAGTTCACTGCAGGGTGCTTATCAAAGTCAGGGCCTTCCAGCAGGGATGTCCCCAATTAGAGACAAACCCTGCGTACCCAGCAGAAAGGCCATGATACAGGCAATGGGTTGAAGTGTGGAGCCAACCAAGGTTTGTGGGCACTTTGCCTCTGAGTTTTTGGGACACAAGTTTCCA